AAAAAAAAAAATCTCTTCCTTTTGCTTCTGTGTCTAGACAATGCTCGTGTTGTGCCAATTCTAACCAGAATAGCTTAAATGCAGAAATAATGGTATCTATTCTTATATCAAAAGTAGTATTATCTTACATTGTCATGATCATGATCCATATTCTAAGGAAGGATAGAGTGATCACAATATACTATCTCCAAAATACTAAAAAGACCTTGGTACTGTCCCAAGACACTGAAAAAATATAGAGAGTAGCATATGCAGTGAGTATTTATTAACTGCCTATTATGTCCAGGCTCACTGAGAATACAACACTAAATGAGTTAGAGTATTGGTCTTCTAGAAGCCTATATACTAAGATAGTGTATAGAGAGATACAAAGAACATATCTTAGGCTAGATTCTTCTTTTCACTGTGTCTTAGTTTCCCTATCTATAAACTAAGGATGGAGGGGCGCCTGCGTTGCTTGGTCGGTTAAGCGTCCAACTTTGGCTCAGGTCATGATCTCACAGTCCGTGAGTTCGAGCCCTGCGTCGGGCTCTGTGCTGACAGCTCAGAGCCTGGAGCCTGTTTCAGATTCTGTGTCTCCCTCTCTGTGCCCCTCCCCTGTTCATGCTCTGTCTCTCTCTGTCTCAAAAATAAATAAACATTAAAAAAAAATTTTTTTTAAATAAAAAAATAAAAAAAAATAAACTAAGGATGGAATTAGAACAGTGCATTTCAAACTTTTAGAAAATAGATTTTTCTTCCCAGTCATGCTTCAATAAAATCATACTTAAAAACCTTAAAGTGGTTGACCCATGAACTTGTAACATAAAAATATTCTAATACATAAAAGCTACTATTTTAAAGAATGAAGAATGAATTCATTTTCTTAAACATAAAAAAAACAACTTTTTAACTGGAATCTTTCAGTAACATTTATTTTAAATTAATTTGAAACATTCAGGCACTTATGTAGTAAGATTTCAAAAAACACCTGCTAAATGGATCTCCAAAATAAACAGATGCTCAACATCACTAATATTCAGGGAAATGCAAACCAGAACCACAGTGAGATGTTACGTCACACCTGTCAGAATGGCTAAAATCAAAAGCATAAGATACAATAAGTGTTGGCGAGGATGTGGAGAAAAGGGAACCCTCATGCACTGTTGGTGGGAATGCAAACTGGTGCAGCCACTGTGGAAAACACCATGGAGCTTCCTCAAAAAATTAAAAATAGAACTAACATATGATCCAGTAATTCCACTACTGAATATTTACCCAAAGAAATACAAAAACATTAATACACTGCATCCCAGTGTTTATTGCAGCATTACTTAAAATAGCCAAAATATGGAAGCAGCCCAGGTGTGATAAAGAGGTGATGTATGTGTGTATATATAACGGAGTATTTCTCAGCCATAAAAAAGAATGCTATCTTGCCATTTGCAACATAGATAGAGCTAGAGAGAGCACAATGCTAAGCAAAATAAGTCAGAGAAAGACAAATACTATCTGATTTCACTCCTATGTAGAATTTAAGAAACAAAACAAAGGGAAAAAAAAAGAAAGACAAACCAAGAAACAGATTCTTGGCTATAAAAAACAAATTGCTATTACCAGAGGAGGGGTGAAATAAGTGAGGGGGTTTAAGAGCGTACATATTTTGAGGCACCTGTGTGGCTCAGTTGGTTAAGCGCCTGACTTTGTATCGGGTCATGATCTCACAGTTCATGAGTTCAAGTCCCACATTGGGCTTCGTACTAACGTGCAGAGCCTGCATGGGATTCTCTCTCCCTCTCTCTCTGACCCTCCCCTGCTTGTGCACACTCTCCCTCTCTCTTTCTCTCCCTCTCTCTCTCTCTCTCTCTCTCTCAGAGTGAATAAGTAAACTTAAAAAAAAAAAGAATACATGTATCTTGATGAGCACTATGTACAGAAATGTGGAATCACTATATCATACACCTGAAATTAATAGAACACTGTATAACTATACTGGATTTAAAATTAAAAGAAAAAAACTTGAATGAATAAACAGCAAATGACTATACTGTACCACAGATAACCTCAATACCTTCTGTACATGTTTCTGGATTCATTAATACTGTATTTCAGACACATCTCCCAAGACAAATTGACCCTCAGAAATGTAAATAAATACTTCATGGCTTATATATTTTAACTTTTTTCTCTTTAAAAAATAGATTAGATGATAAAGACCAAGTGATCCGCATCAACTTCAATAATGCAACCAGAGACACTGTATTTGATGTACCTGTTGAAAGAGTTCAGCCTTTTTATGCTGCTCTGAAGGAGTTTGTTGACCTCATGAACTGTAAAGAATACAAGGTTACTTTCAAGATGAATCCAGGTCAGTGAACACATTTTCTCAAACTCAACACAGGGATTTTCTTCAACCTTAACCATTTAGAGCAAGATCTAGAGCAGTTTCTCTCATATATGGCATGTGGAACACTTATAACAATCTTTGCGAGAAGCCAGCTGGATTAAATAGCAGACTCCTGGCCCCAACCACTGCTCTATTGCCTCTTCAGACTAAAAAATATTCTTTTCTTTTTCAAAATATTTATGTATTTTTGGGAGAGTGCAAGTGGGGGAGGGGCAGAGAGAGGGGGACAGAGGATCCCAAGGCGGCTTTGCACTGACAGACTGACAGCAGCAAGCTGGATGTGGGGCTCAAACTCATGAAGCACGAGACCATGACCTAGGCCGAAGTCAGACATTCAACTGCCTGAGCCACCCAGGCACCCCTAAAAATACTCATTTCTAGCAGACTCATAGGTAATCTTTAATCACACCAAAATTTAATAACCTCCAACCTAAAGAATAAATACATGAGAGAGAAGCTATAAACCAAATGAAATCTCACTTCTGATGTCAAGACTGATGACTTAGGTTTTCTATCCTGATAGCCCGTCAATACAAACTGAGTCTTAATTCTTCTATCCTGGAAAACAAATAAAATTATCCCTATGATTCTCTCTAAAGTAGAGGATTAATGTTTACTCATTTAACTTATTTGCTCTGGCAGAGATAGTGCTACCTGAAATGAAGTGTACTTGAAGTAGTCCAGCCACAGACACCTGGGTGGCTCGGTCAGTTAAGCATCTGACTTCGGCTCAGGTCAGGATCTCACGGCTCCTGGGTTAGAGCTCTGTGCTGACAGCTCAGAGCCTGGAGCCTGCTTCGGATTCTGTGTCTCCCTCTCTCTCTGCCCCTCCCCTGCTCATGATCTGTCTCTCTCTGTCTCTCAAAAATAAATAAACTTTAAAACAATTTTTTTGAAGTAGTCCAGCTACTTGAAATAAAGGAATAGAGAGCATGGTGTTTGTTCTGGACCACCTTGACTCAGTGAAGTGATCTCAAACTTGAGGCTTTTGATACCTATCATAAAAAACAGAATTTCTCTCTGCTGTTGATTTGGCTGAGGGGAAGATTCTAATCATAATTAGCTTTTTAATTGATCTTTGGCATAATAAAGTAATATTGGAAACCTCTATAAATCCACTGATAGGCAGTCACAACAGGTTGATTTTAAGAGCAGTAACATATAAAATGGAAATATCATGAGAGAAAAATACCAAAAAATAGAAGTTGGAATTGAAGCTCTACCATTTAATGGCTGTGTAGTTTTAGGCAAATCCCTCAACTTCCTGGAGCCTCGGTTTTCTCAAATGAAAAGATGGAACTAACACCCTTTTCAGTATTTTTATGAGGCTTAGAAATAATGTACACAAAATACTAGGAACATAGAAGACAGACCAAGTCACTATCCTTATAATTATCTGAAGTTGTTAAACTGGAAAGAAAGATTTCTTTTTTTTTCCAATATATGAAATTTATTGTGAAATTGGTTTGGAAAGAAATATTTCTAAGTAAGAGCTAAATAACAACCACAAAGAGCAATTCAAAGTTTTACACAAAGATAATATTTTAGGGGCATCTGTGTGGCTCAGTCGGTTGAGTGTCTGACTCTTGATTTGGGCTCAGGTTCATGATCTCAGGGTTGTGGGATTGATGGAGCCCCTCATCTGGCTCTGTGCTGATGGTGCAGACCCTGCTTGGGATTCTTTGTCTCTGCCCCTCCCCCGCTCATGTGTGCATGTGCATGTGCACTCTCTCTCTCTCAAAATAAATAAACATTTTTTAAAGATAATATTTTAGGTAAAAATTATAAAAGTGTCTACAGAAGCCTGGACTATAAATGTCAAAAGGTCTAAAGCAGTTTGCATTCAATGATCTGATTGGGTGAAAAAATGAATGTACAATTTTCAGTCAGAGAAAGACAAATACCATATGATTTCACTTGTATGTGGAATTGAAGAAACAAAACAGAAGAACATAGGGGGAAAGAGAGAAGCAGACTCTCAACTAGACAGAACAAAATGAGTGTTGCTGGAGGGGAGGTGGGTGGGGCGCCAGGTTAAGTAGGTGATGCAGATTAAGGAGGGCACTTGTGATGAGCACCAGGTATTATATGGAAGTGATGAATCACTAAATTCTATTCCTGAAACCAATATTATGATATATGTTAACTTTTTCATTTTTATTTAAATAAAAACTTGAAACAAATAAAACAAACGTCAAAAACAACAGGAAAAAAAGAAACATACTATTTCTTGATGTGAACAAAGTATCCATGTTATTTTGCATTTTATATTTTCTAGCTCTGCAAATCATTGAAACACATGATTATTCATATTGAAAAAATGTTTTGTCTAGGTGATGTGATTACTTTTGATAACTGGCGCTTACTTCATGGCCGACGTAGCTATGAAGCAGGAACTGAGATATCCCGCCATCTGGAAGGAGCTTATGCCGACTGGGATGTAGTAATGTCAAGGCTTCGTATCTTAAGGCAGTGTATCCAGAACACAAACTGAATCTCCTGTCTACAATTTCAGTAAGATTCCAATGAGTGTATTTTGTAAGATATGGCAAGGTTGTCTTCACAGACTATGATCTATGTCATTTACATATTAATTTCTTTCATGAACATGCCCTCTTTATCAGAAGGGTTTTCCTTTTCTCATAATCATATACAATGCCAACATTTTAGATGTTTTAGCAGTGTTTTTTCCTTTCCAAATAAAGTGTTTCTTCTGCTCTATTGCATATATGATCTAATTTCTTTTGCCTGTATATGAGAGGCTCCAGAATGCCTACAAATAGTTTTGTATCAAATAAAACTTTTTCAAATAAATCCCTTTTTAAATAAAGCTTTTGTTTCAAATAAAGCTTGTGTTTCAAATAAAACTTGTCTCAAATAAAACATGTTCCTGCTCTGTTTTCTGTACAGTCTCAATTTTCATGACTGCATGTGACTGTCCTTAGCATGATTGGGGTAAGGCTTCATATTTTTGAAGATCTGTTTTATTCACTTTTATTATAGATTTCTGTTATCCAGGTTTTCAGACCTCAACAACCTCTGATCCAAACATTTTCTTTAACAACTAAATTATGACACCAAACCCAAACATGTCAAATGAAGGGGAAATCTAGTCTGCCTATGTTTCTCTTGCCCTGAGTCAGCACTCCTAAGGATTGCCAGTATAGCTTACACCTGTCTGTGAATCAGTTCTCATTCCTTGCCTTCAACAAATAACTAGGAAAGGTCTAACTAAAGTGCATGCAACACTCATACACAGATACAGTGTCTGCTAATCTCGGGACAGCTTCCCCTGCTGGTCTTGCCTTCCTGTATGGTCACTCCTTGTCCCCAGTGGTGGAACACAGACGTCATGGCTAGCCATGGAAATGCCACTTATGTTGAGACCAGTCCTTTCCCTACTGCTGCTGAAAGGGGAGCCTCAGCACTACCATTTGCTGAAATCCTGGTAATACATAGATTTTTAGTCTATATTGTTGGGGACCTAACCAGGCTTCCTATTTGGAAAGTGTTAATGACTGTCAACACCATGGAACTCCACCTGTTGCATTAAGACCAAGTGAAAGAGGATACCTGGGTAGCTCAGTTGGTTGAGCATTGGACTTCAGATCAGGTCATGATCTCACGGTTCGTGAGTTTGAGCCCCACATCGGGCTTATTGCTGTCAGTGAGAGCCTG